TCTGTCCTTCATGGCCTTGCAGACCTTTTCTAATATTTTGCCATTTCGTTTACTGCTACGGAGTTCAGCTAGCACTGATTCATCTCCCCATATGGCGAGCAGATCCCGTACCTCCCGTTCGGTCCATGCTGGAGCTCTTTTGCGATCCTGGGACTCCATCATGGTTACCTGTGCTGATGAGCTCTGAGTGGTCACCTGTGCTCTCCACTCTAGGCAAACAGGAAATGAAATTCAAACATTCGCGGGGCTTTTCCTGTCTACCTGGTCAGTGCATCTGAGTTGAGAGTGCTGTCCAGAGCAGTCACAATGAAGCACTGTGGGATAGCTCCCGGAGGCCAATAACGTCGAATTCCGTCCATATTACCCCAATTCCGACCTGCTAAGGCTGATTTTATTGCTAATCCCCTCGTTGGAGGTGGAGTAAAGAAACCGTTTTAAAGGACCCCTTAAGTCGAAAGAAAGGGCTTCGTTGTGTGAACGTGTCCAGGCTTAATTCGATTTAACGCTGCTAAAGTCGACCTAAACTCGTAGTGTAGACCAGGCCTAAGTAATTATGGAATATCAGACTTACAATTATAACTTTAAATTGTATTTCTAAAGAAAATATTATTTTGCGTGTTTTACTATAAAAACATTCTGTCAGACATACCAACATTTTAAGCACTTTTCTTTTCCAAGATAAATAATATATCATTATATAATCTTAATATGCAAATTAGCAGAAATGGCTCAGAAAAGAGATGCATTCTATTGAGAAACAGCTAATTTGTCCTGTCCTGGTTCTCTGCCTATGTCTTTAATCTCTCCTTCACTGTGTCCTTCAGAAGACTCACCTCATCCCATCTCCAACTTTTTGTAGGGTTCCACAAGGCTCTGGTGTTCTTAAGCCCCTTCTTTTCTCCCTCTACCCCTTATCTCTGGGCAATATCTGTAAACACAAGTTCAACTACAATCTCTATGCTGACAACTCAAAGATCTACCTCGCTGCCCAAGACCTGGCTGTTGTTCAAACTAAAATCTTAACCTGTCTCTTTGACACATCCTCATGAATGTCTAGCCATGAGCTCTCCCTCAACATGGCTAAAACAGAATTCTTAATTTCCCCACCCCTGCAAAAAAAAACCCTCCTGGCCACCTCCTTGATCACTGTGGACAACACCACCATCCTTCCTATCACTCAGGCCTGTAACCTGTGTGTCATCTTTGACTTGAACTTTTCTCTAGGTCCTCACATCCAAGCTATGTAAAAATCTTGCCGATTGTTTCTACATAACATCTAAGATATGGCCTTTCCTATCCATCCACACAGCTAAAACTCCTATCCAGGCACTCCTCATCTTGTGTCTCAATTTCTGCAACCTCTGGTCTTGATAAATGCAATGCTTTACTCATATCCATTCAGAATACTATAGCAAAGATTATTTTCCTAGCCCATTACTTAGACTATGCCACAGCTTCCCTTTCTCTGTCACATCAAACATAGGCTCTTTGTCTTCATTCTCCAGGCCCTTCATATCCTATGCCCCTTTACCTATCTCTCAATAGCTATCAAGCTGTTTACTCCTCCTTCTAATCAAACCACAATGCCAGTCTTCATTGTCCACTTGTTAGATTTTCACACAAGCATCTTTGTGTTTTCTCCTGTGCTGCACCTCATGCTTGGGAGGAGCTCCCCATAAACATCTGCAAAGCTATCTCATTATCTTCCTTCAAAATCCTCTTTAAAACTCTCCTTTTCTATGATGCCTACAAAAAAATCAACAACAGTTAGGGCACTGAGATCCCTTATTGTCATTACGACCAATATTATATCTTAGTTTTCTTGTACTCATCTGTCTGCCTGTATTCATCTGTTGTCTCTTCTCTCATCCTTAGATGGTAGGCTCTTTGGGGCAGAGACAGTCTTCTTGTTCTGTGTTTGTACAGCACCTTGCACAATGGAGTTCTGGTTCATGACTAATGCTCCTGGGTTCTAAGCTAATACAAATGAAAAATAACAATAATTTGGAATATTCCATAATGACAGCAACTGCAAGGCTGGGAGGGATTTAATATAACCTTTCTTTGTTTATAAATATAAATGTACATTCCAATGTTATAATTTGTTTCAATTCTTAATATATTTGAAGTGTTTCATGACTACAACTTTCTGAAATTATATAGTGTTTTTGTGAGCTCTTTCAGTAATAACAAGTATTGCCAAACATGTTTTTGTCTTTTATTATGTCTCTAGTAAAGTTTCAATTTTACACTTAAACCAGAGATTTGGCCTCATTATTATGTGTGAAAAATATAGCATAACCCCTGCAAAATTATAGCATTTATTCCTTGAGTACAGAATAAATTTTCTTAGAATTTCCAATGAAATCCATTGATTGAAATTAAATTAATTTAATATTGGGTCCTTTAAAAAATTTAGTGTTATCAGACCTTTTTTGGTCCATAATGCTGTTAGTAACAACATTATATAGGCTCCTTGAACTTTCATAACTGAAAATGCCTTCTTAAATAGAGGCTGAAGAAAAATGTTCTACTTCAGAGAATACTATGAAGAACAGACCCTTTTAAAGATGGGGCTAGATCCTAGCTTTCTCCAGGTACTCGGCCACAAGCTGCCCTAGCGGTTTTTCTACTCTTCACTGCATAGAGGTCCACCATCCACCATCCCTAAGGGCAGCTAGGCTTCAGTATTTTGGGGAAACAATTGGAGGCAGCGGCCTTTTGAAAGAGGGCATTTTAACTGGGGGCAGCTTGTGGCCTCAGGGCAGGTCTACACTATCGCTTAAGTCCACCTAACTTATGTCACTCAGGGCTATGAAAAAGTCCCCCACTCCGAGCGACATAATTTTGCACTGTCTATACCAGTGCTATGTCAGTGGGAGATTCTCTTCTGCCAACATAGTTTCCGCTTCTCACTGAGGGGGAGAAATTATGCTGACGGGAGAGCGCTCTCCTGTCAACATAGTACATCTGGTGAAGAAGAAGTGCAGCTGCGCTGATGAAGTGCTGTAACATAGATTTGCCCTCATTCCAATTAAGAGCAATAGGAGATGGTAGCCACTTCAAAAGGTCAATTCTTCATGAAATTGCCTGTAATAGAACATTATTCACTAGCATCTGCTGAAGAAGAAACTACCAGTTATAAGGAATGGACAAGAAATTATCATTAATCCTACTTTTTTAAAATTCCCTGTTGCACCTGATCTGCCAAACAGGGAGGGCAGGAAAGAGGGGAAAACTAGTTGTGTATGCATGTGTGTGAAGGAGAGACCAAGAGAATGTGAGTGGCAGAAGGGAGAAACTGGGATGTGTGAGCATAGGGGAATGTGGCTGATGTAGTAGGGGAGGGAGAATGTGGGACATGATGGAGGGATGTGTGTATGCCAGGTTATGTAGGAGAAGTGCAGAAGGCAGAGGGAGTTTCATGGTGAACATGCATGCAGGCAAATGCACAGGGAAGGGAAGTTTAGTGTGTTTGTGCAAGGGAAGATGGAGGCTAAGAGGAGGCTGATGGTGTATATGCTGGTTGCTTTGCAAAGGAGCTTTAAACCCAGCTTAATTGCCCAGTATGCTCTGGCTACTTTGTGCTGCTCCAGAGTGGAGTAAAGTAGCCGGAGTATATTGATGAATCTGGCCACCGAACTTAAAATTTAAATAGTTACTTAAGAGTGATACTTCACGTATTCAAAGCATTAGAAACATCACATGATAACATGGACTTTCTTGTTCAGGGTTTATTTGTTAAAATAACAAAAAAGAAATTCCCAGAGAAAAACTAAGTTAAAATGGAGTTACGGTTGAGAGTATATATCATTAATTTAAGGTTAAATACACTACACTATGATTATTGCATAATCAAGCATTATGAACCGAAGAAATCCAAAGTTAATGTTAAACTTAAAAGAAATCCAAACATGTTAAGATATGGAACTGCATATTAGAGCACCCCAAAAGCCTGAACCTTGCCCCGGAGAGGGAAAAAAATCAGATGTGCCTTTAAAAATCAGTTCAATCTAATCTGGGACTAGAAATACTACAATACCTTAATCATAAATATATGGCTATTACATAGTATCACTCAGCCTAGTGAGAACACTGAAAAGTAAAATCATTATAGGGAAGGGTTTATGACATTCTGTAGAAACTAAGGAAATTTACATTATTATTTTTTTGCAGAAAGATTTTCTGAAATAGCACAGAAATTCAGTAGTTCCTATTTTAGCTATTTTTAACATTGTTTTGTGTGCAGAACATTTATTAATAATTTGAACCTACGACATAAATGTACTGTGTGAAATCCTGACTCCATTAAATTCAATGAGAGTTTGCCATTAACTTCACTGGGATCAGGATTTCACCACTGTGTGTATATTGTACAAATGTGCACGACTGATAAAAGTTTAGAAAAATGTTATTTAAGCAGATATCTTTCAATAATTGTAATCAGTAACCTTTCTCTTTAGATTACTCTGGAGCAGATGATAAAAGAAAATTTGTGGTTAGCACAAGAGTATCAGATCTTTCAGAAATATTGTTTAAATGATAAAGAAAACCTTATGGATCTCTATGATGATAGGGTCAAGGTGGAAGCTGCAGTTAGAGATCATCAGCAGGTACAGTACTAATATAATGCATTTGATTCCTTAACTAGTGATCTGTTTTCTAAAATTTATTTATTATGGCTACTTAATGAAATTGGATAATCATGCAATCCATGGCCTGAATTCTTGTGATGTCTGGCTATTGTATGCTGTTTGTATTTTCCATTTGACTTGTATAGGACAGTTTTTGTAAGAAGATGCTATAAGGATATGTAGGGTCTCACTCTAAATCATCCATTTTTGGTACCTAAATTGTGTCTATACTTTAGTTCCAGTAATTTCATGTAATTCAGTATTGCAAGGATCATCTTCGTAGTACATATTTTGTTAGCATGGTCTTTATATAGCATTGGGAGTTCACTGACATCAACAGCCAAACTAAGGCTCCAATTCAGGAAAACACACATAAGAATACTTCCCTATTCAGGAAATCACTTAAATACAAGCTTAACTTCAAGCACGTGCATAAATCCCATTCTAGTCAGTTAGTAACTGCTTCAATAAATACCCATGATTATGGCATGATAGCAGTTGTTTCATAGTTTAAGGTTGCATTTGAGTTTTCATTATAAGTCTGATTTTGCACCAACCACCACACTTTTTTAATACTGATAAAAAGTCATATCTGCCTCAGAAGCACTAGGTTAAATCTGTGGCCAAGGAGGAATTTTTCTATAGCATACCAAAACACTTTGGTTTTTCTACAATGTGTTTAAAATAATCAAAAAATCAAGACAGAGGTAGAACCTAGTTTGCTGAACTTCCCTGACGAGATATAGTGTCCATGACTCAATGTTAATCAACTAAAGTCTCATTTCAAAAGTTCTTAACTTTTGATTTGTAACATGCTATGGAACATCAGGTCAATGATATGTACCACATCAAAGAACGGTTGGAAACCTATGTTTTCATTTTCTAAGAAAATAGTGTTACTCCAATTTTTTTTCTAGAGATAGACTTCAAAATATAAACCAATCCCTGGGATGTCTGTTCAGTGGGAAAAAAAGATAAATTTTCTAATATTCTAGTTGGATTTTAGTTGGGTTTTTGTTTGTTTTTCTTTTTTTATCTCTTGCATTTTTGAGAGTTTATATGCATTTAAATCACTGTTATGTTGCCACAACCTTAACTTTCCTAACAATTTTTGGTGGGAAGTCTCATAAACTCAATTCATTTGTGCAAGAATTTAGTCCCTCTATAGTAACCATATTAAAAAGCAGGTGAGATTAGGCCACTTCCTCAAAGCAGTCTTCTTTACAGGATACTCCAAAAGAATCCAAATTACCTGCTAGACTTCAGTATCTAAAAATTTTTTACAAGAGCCTACATTTTCATCATACAAACACATCAGTTGTGCATTTATTCATCAACTATGCGCATTCTATCAGCCATTCATCGCTCATGTTGAAATTGAATGTGTTCCCCTTGTTACTGACAATTGTCAATAGGCAAGTAATCAGTGTATACTTGTTGATCTCACAGCCTTCCATTTTTCAATCAGTAAACAGTTTTAAGGGTCAAAATCTAGGGCTAATCATGTTTGAAAGAAAGAGCTAGAGATTTATGATTTATGAAAATGATTAGCAATGAACCACATATATCCAGATTGGTCCTGCTTTGAGCAGAGGGTTGGACTAGATGACCTCCTGAGGTCCTTCCAACCCTGATATTCTATGATTCCAGTGTGTGGCTTACAACTGCTACCTCAACTAGGAATTTTAGGGAAGTCTAGAATTTGACAGTATGCCAGTGCCATTTAACAGAGGCACATAAACCAAGAGTTGGAGTTCTATGTAGGATAGTAACTTCAGAGAATTATAGGGACTGCTAAATAACTTTCCTTTTTGATACCTTTAACTTTTCTAAAATGAATAACCTGTCTAGCTATAAAGACAAAATAATCACATCAGCACCAGAGGGAGAATTTTTTTCAAAAATGATGACAAATGAAGTAAAGATGTTGTTTACATATAGGTCCTATAAAAAGGAGGCATATTTTCTCAGTTTTTTACTAATAAATGACTCACAACTGCAACAGAAAATCATTTCTGTAGGAGTGCCAGTGTAATGATTTTTTTTAGCTGCTGTACTATGCACATAGATCACAGTGACATGAACATTTGAGAAGAAAAGAATGTATTCATTTCCCTAAATCTACAGAGCTCTCTTTTCCTTCTATATCTTAGATATATGTGACAATCAAAATTAGCAGTCATTTTTAAAAAAATGTTGATTTAAAAGGTAAAGTAGCAATGTTTGCCTTGTTCTGATTAATTTAAACTGGATATGGCATTCACTTACTGCCTTAACCTGTTGAGAAATTGCTGTGTGCTTGTCAAATAGTTGCTCATTCAACCCCAAAAGTGTCTCAATTTCAGTGATGAAGTATTTCCTTTATACCATGTAGATCCATATTATGGCTTTGCAAACCTCTGGACTACAGGTTGGAGAAACATCTGTAGTGCTCCAGAATTGGTGAATAGAGGGGATATGCCTGTAAAAATATATGTCAATGGGCATTGAGGAAGCCAGGGGTCATGCTTTGGGGAGGCAGTAAGTGGCACAATCTCCACACTACTGCTCACAGCATTCCTAGATGCCTGGGTGTGGCTTAGCAGGAAGGCGAGAATCCTTGCTTTTATGAATTGCTACCACTAGTGGAAGCATCTGCTGCATGCACTGTATAGTTGCTTTTTAGTACTTTGCCTCTTGCTGTCTCCTTCCTCCCAACTCTACCTCATTACTGTTGTGTTGCCAATTCTCACAATTTTATTGCAAGTTTTGCAATATTTAATGTTCTTCTTTAAGCCCCAGCTCCTGGGATCAAGTGCTGTAATTAGGTAAGAATCTCTGCTTCTATTTTTTAAAAAAGTTTCTAATCCTCATGGTTGTATAGAAAAGCTTGAAAATGTAACTCAAGAGAAATCTACATGGTTAAAAACCAGAGGACAAATGTAAAGAACACAACATTTATTATTTTTTAAATTTCCTAATCTTTAAATCAATCTTATGATTTTGGGAGCCTGACTCTTGATTTTCAAATGCTTGATGTTGGCAGTACTTCTGCTGCAAAGTAGTAATAGGAGGAATCTTACCAAAATATCTGCCTCACAGCTTTTGACCCCCTGCATAATCTTCTAATGAGAGAGTGAAGGACAGGAAAAGATCTTAGAAAGAGTGAGTATAGGAGCAGGAGCCATTGGTGTAGTGGGTGAAAGACTTGAAGGTGTGAGGAAGGAAGAGCGTTCTGGAGCCAAGAGCTATGAATGAAACCCTTGGAGAGGCAGAGAGATGAGACCCAGGCAAAGGGAAAGGTATGGAGGAGCAGTAGAAGGTGAGAGACTGCAGGGTACAGGGATGGCTCTGGAGAAGAAGTTGTTCAAGAACAACTGGGGAAGGGATAAATCAACAGGTTATGGGTGAGGGAGCACAGGAGAGGGGAAGAGAGGGAGAAATGCCAAAGGGGAAGAGAGAAAGAAAGACATGGAAGATAGGGATAGGAAAGGCTCCAGATGGAAGATGAGAGAGGGGGTTTGTAGATCGTGAGGAAGAAATGCCAAGGGATTTTCTCAAAAAGGCAAAGGAGGACGCAAGCAGAGTCTGAAAGAGAAGAGAGTGATCTCAGAAATGAAGAGAAAGATGTAGATGGCTGGCAAGGAAGGGGAGGGGAGAGGCTACAGGTGTTGGATGAGATGTCACAGGGAAGACTGTTTTGATGGGGGAGAAAGACACCAACTGGAAAAAAATCTGAATGAATAATTGATTTTTCAGTTTGGTGGCTGAACCACAAAATAAAACTAAAAAAGTGTTTAAGTTTTTCACCAAAATGGAATTTTTTCGGTTTTTCTCACCCAAATGAAAAAGTTAATTCAGGTCAAGTGCTGATTTGAAATGAAATGTCAAAACTGTTTGTTTCAAAAATGGTAAAACAAAATATTTGGACTTTTCCAAAAAATAGTTGTTTTGTTTTTTTCTCCTCCCTCCCCCACCCCCCCAAAAAACCTATTCGCTGCATTCAACCCAAATTTGCGAATAGTTTCAGTATCCCAAAAAATACATTTTCCAGCCAATTTACTCTAGGAGAGGCGCATGGGGGGAAAGACATCCCCATGAGAAAGAAGGGGATGGGAGAGGGAGCGAGAAGGGTTTCAGAAAAGCAGAGATGAAGAATGGAAGGAGAGGGAAAAGAAAAGGGGTGTCTCTATGGACAGATTTAGATGAAGGGTGGGAAAAAATAAATAGTAGATTAAATTTAAATATAGTGAGACAGGCAGAAAAATAAAATTGTTGATCAAATAAATAAAATAAAAACAAGTGAGAGACTGTAATGTTATTTATTTTTATTATGTGAATTTCATAGAAAGCTTGGTGCCAAAATGTAATCTAAAGTACACTATTGGTGTCTCTCTCTCTCTCTCTCTCTCTATATATATATATATCAATCAGGGGAACTTAGTTCCTTAGGATTAGAAGGGTTTATGAGACCCATTGTAATGCTGGATGGAGGACCATCTTCTTGTGTATGCTGGAAGGCAATAATTTGTTTTGGTTTCATGTGTGTATACAGTGTTGATGCTGGACTTGTGTATGCAAGTGCATGTGTGTGCGTGTGCACGAACTCATGTGAGAAGAAAATGCAAGGATGTTTGAAACCCTATGATCTTGGTGCACATTATTACAAAAATTTGCAAATCATTCTCAAAGGGGTAATTAATTCTATGGCTTTATGCAACACTGAAGCACTGTGTTAAGGATTTAGCCCAGGATTTTCAAAAATAGGGACTTATAAATAAGATCTTGAATACATATATTTCAAAAGTGCTGGCCAACCAGCACCTCCCATTGACCTTGATTTAAAAAAAAATCATAAGTACTATTTGAAAGTTTTTGAAGTATATCCTCAGTTCAGTGACAGAGGCATTAAAGAGTCTCTTAATGTTCAACAGTAATCCTATCTCTCTCTGTTGTTGATATGTAATGGCAATATGACTTAGATTAACTAGATTCGGTCT